AAGAAGGCCTATCTATTGTCATCTACCTTATTTTATAATAAGTGATAGTAAGTATGGTAATGCATATAAAAAAGATGTATGATTCTACACATATTTAAAACTCTTGGCTTTTTGTTTATGTTGTCTTTATGTTTATGCATAAGCTATAGTAAAATGTTCCACAGAGTTCAGAGGGACAGTTGCTTCAGTGTGGACTAATCAAGAAACTCTTCATCTCCCTTTGAACCTGTCTGAAGGAAAACCTTGAGAGTCTATGCTTCTTCCACAGTCAGTGAATTGACAGTGTCTGTCCAGAGGCAGTTCAGATCACTGGAATAAATCGCTGTAGTGAAACATTTGGATCTTGCAGTTAAGTTTACTCAGAAACTTTGTTCAGAAACTTTCTCCAGGCACACCTGGACACACACACACACACTCTCATCCCTCCCCAGCTTGATGTTGCCAAACTTCTGGAATCCTCCAGAAAGAAGAGTGAACGTGCTCAGAACTCCTGGAGGAGGTATTGGGGCATTTACTGGAAGAAAAAGGATTATAAAACCTCAATTTTCAATGTGTTCATGGGCCCCCACCCCCAACAGGTCAGGACTGCGTATCCCAACCACAGACCACGGTCACCCAGGCATTGCTGGAGCCACGGGTGGTGATATCTTTCTATCTCTTCTTCTGTCAATTTTTCTCTATTTTTCTCTTTCAAATTTTCCTCTCTTAGGGTGATCATATACTCCAGAATGGCTATACACTCCTTTTCTAATGTGTTATGGGTTTTTCCACTTACAGTTTCAAAGCAGTTATTCTAATAAAATCAGTTTATTAGATATCAGTTATATCAGTTATTTAGTGTCATTTCTCTTTAATCCACCCCTAAATATCTGTTAACAATGAACATGCTTGCCCTGCCTCAGGGGTGGGTCCCAATAATCACTTTCTGTGAAGTACAGTGCAGATGTAGAGTAATATGGCTCTTAGTTTAGATGCCTTACTTAAGTTCCTACTCTTAGATAGGTGTAACTTCAAGTAGTAGGGATTTGCATATAGAGAACTGGAATGTGCTCAACTCAAGGCATTAACATATCTTACAGTATTAGTTAACAATTCTTTTCTTGATTCCCATTTGAAAACCAGAAATGCCTGAAGTATTTTGCTAGGTTTTCTACTGTACTGAGTCGTTTGTTGGATACTTACTCATGACACACTCTAAAATGTTAGATCAAAGTAATTATTGTTGTCTTGCAAGTTATCATGAGTGATTTAAAATAAATATTTCAACTTTATTCATAAAAATAGGCTCTGGAGTAAAAGTTGTTCCATACATCTGTGCCTGGATTAATGATATTGCCCTTATACATTTTCAAATAAAGGTTTGCAAGACTTGATTTAGTACTGCATCATGTCCTTATTAGAAAACTTTGTTCTACATTGTAAATAGAGTTCACATAGAATGAATTAGAAATTGACTGGTGTTGCTCAAAAAGTAGCTGTCTTTGTGGAATGACCATTGAAATGTTTGGGTTTTTCTAAAGATTGGAAGCGTGCAGCTGTTCTACATTTACATCAACGCTGGCTTCATGATTTTGGAGTGGATTGTCTAGTTGGCTTTGTAGCTTGGGCTTATTTAAAGAACAAATGCTTTAATATTGCAAAATATGACGTTAGAACTCTAGCAGTGGGGATATGTGAATCTGCACAGAGGAGAGAAACATGCTGGGAACAGCTCTATCTCTGGGAGGTCTAGGTCTGCACTTGTATGTGGTATTAAAGCAGCCCTGCCCTCCTGCCCTGCATTCAGAGGATGTCCTGGAGGGAGCTACAGGTCTGTGTCTGCTTAGATTTTCCTGTTATGAAAACAGAGCATATAGGGGGTAGAGAGTGGGAAGAAAGGCATTTAAAACAATCAGGCACGGTCAACGTGAGTTCACAAAGGGAAAGTCATGTTTGACTAATTTGATATCTTTCTATGATAAGGTCACCTATAAGGTGGGTGAAGGGAAGGCATTTTTTCTGGGCTTTAGTAGCACTTTTGATACTGTCCCTCACAGCATCCTCCTGGGCAAGTTGTCCAGCTGTGGGATGAGGAGGTTCACGGTGCACTGGGTGAAGAACTGGCTCAAATGAGGCTACATCTGACTCGTGATCATATACCAGCAGTCTTCCTTTGGGCTCAGTTATAGGGTCAATTCTGTTCAATGTAGTAACAATCTGCATGCAGGACGTGAATGAACTGTTAGAAAATTTGCTAATGATCCAAACTGGAAGGTGCCATGGACTCTCTTGAGGCGCAAGAGGCCTTGCAGAGCTATCTAGATAGATCGAAGCATTGGACGATCATTAACAAATCCAAATGCTGGATTCTGCACCTGCAACTGAGTAACACCAGGCATAGGTATAAAGTGGGAGAGGAGTGGTTGGACACGTGCAGAGAGGGATGTGGGGGCCCGGCTGGCACTGAGCTCAGTGTGGGTCAGCAGAGTGTGCCCCGGCAGCCCACGGGGAAAACATCCCGGGATCCTTTGAACACAGCACAACCACTCGGCCCAGAGAGGGGATGATCCCACTGTGCTCAGCCTTGTGTGGCCTCACCGTGCAGTGCTGGGCCCTGCACGTGGAGCAGGATGTGAAGGTCTCACAGAGCCCAACAAATCTGATGGGAGCATCTGAGGACTTTGGGTTTGTCCAGTTTGGAGAAAAGGAGACTTTTTTGAACCTCCTTCCTATTTGAAGACCAAACGTATTGCAACCCCAGCTCTTGGCCGTGCCTTTGGAGCAGGTGAAAGGAGAACATGCTGTGAGCATTAATAGGGATGTAGTCAGCTACCTCACTGAGCTCCCCTCTGTTCAGCTGTACCACACAACTGAACAGACAGGCAGACCAGAAAGTCTGTCACACAGACAGCATTTGAAATGGTCTGAGAAAAGAAGTGTGGGAAGGGGTTAAAATGACAGCAGGACACATGCAGGCATTTTCAGGACTTTTACTGAACGCTAATTGCAAACACTTGCTTTTGTTTTTTACAATTGAGTGTTCACAAAACTGCTAGACTCATAATTAGATTATAATGACTTTGGTCTAGGGTTCATTGTTACTTTGCCTATAAAAGAACCTTGCACCATTTGGAGGACTGAAGAAATAAAGAATTTATCTTGTGACTAATCAAGAATAGACCCAGCTAACTCCTCTGCTTTTTACTGTTCTCTCTCTTAATCCAACATTAATTTCACCATGATGTGATGAAAAACTACTTATGGAGAAGCTAACTGTTGGTTAATTTCCATTTTCACAAATGAAATTCTAAAAGTAAGGATATATGCCAATTATTTAGACACTTCTTAAGTCTAAAGAAGTTCTTGAATTTGAGGCTTGAAAACTGTAACAGAAGCAGAAGCAATTCTCAGAGCAATAATGATCAAAAAATTTTAAAGAGTTTATCCTAGAAGGTGACTAGAATATGTGATATAAGTATAAAACATTAAAATGTTGTTCAGAAGCTAGAATAGGACTGTTGTAGATAATACTAATCAGGTAGTATTCAACTTAAGTTGGAAATTTGGAAAATAAAAACTGGTAAACTTCAAGCAGTACGATGACTGTGGAATGTTCTGACAGAATGCACACATCAAGTCAAACGCTTAGTAGGGTTTAGACAGAGGCTGCACATATAATTGAAGTTCCCAAAAATACTCAATACTAACATTTAAGGCTGATGATTCTGCACCTCAAATGCTATATTTTGGGACCTTTCCTACAAGAAAGACATTGAGGATCTGGAGTGTGTCCATACAAGGGCAATGAAGCTGGGGAAGGGTCTAAAGCACAAGTCTGATGAGTGGGGCTGTTTAACCTGGAGAAAAGGAAGATCAGGGGAGACCTTATCACTCTCCACAACTACCTGAAAGGAAGTTGTAGCCAGGTGGAGGTCAGCCTCTTCTATCAGGTAACAAGCAATAGGACAAGAGAAAGTGGCTTCAAGTTGATCTAAGAGATTGGATATTAGGAAAAATTGCTTCACTGAAAGGGTCATCATCACAGGCTGCTGAGGAAAGCGGTGGAGTCACCATTCCTGGGGGTATTTGAAAGATGTGTAGTTGTGGCACTTGGGGGCATGGTTCAGTGGTGGACTTGTCAGTGATGAGTTAAGGGTTGGACTTGATGATCTTAGAGGTCTTTTTCACGTTATGTGATCCTATTGCAGTGGGGGTAAAATGGCACACTTCAGAGCCATAATGATCAAAAAATTTTAAAGAGTTTATCCTAGAAGATGACTAGGATATGTGATATAAGTATAAAACATTAAAACTTCAGAAGTTACGACACACACTGGGTGTCATAATTATGGAAAATCACGGAGCATCTGCCTGTTCTAGGACTTCTTACATCTTTTTCTGTGAAACATCTGATAGTGGCTGTGTGGAGAACCTAGATTTGACTGTACATATGATTCTGATGAACTTTAAGCAAATGCCTACCTTTTTTTTCTTTAACTGTTATGATTACAGACAGTTTCACACCAGGTCCGCAAAATAAAATGGCCTGAAATTGCTCCCACGTGAAGAATTTGGGGCTGTTGTCATTTAAGAGAGCAGCAGGAGGCACGGGAGAGGCTTTGAACTCTTAGGACTTCTGGAAGGAAGGGACCGCAACACCTATTTCTGCTGACGCTGCACTTGGTTCACGTCAGCAAGGGAACAATCACAGCGCTCGGCTGCCTTGCTTGATATTTCATCTCCTTTTGGAAAACAAAGAGCCCAGTAAAATCAATACCAGGCACAGCACCCGTTGGGAGCCTCCTCACGCCCTGCTCCGCGGCTGAACCCCGGCGCTCTCAGCAGATCCAGGGAAACGCCGCTCGCGCCGCTCCCCATCCCGCCCTCTCTCCCTTCCTACGTCCATATGCCTGGCTTTACATGTCCCCTCCCAGGGCCCGCCCCGTGGGCGAGGAGCCGGCCCCGAGCCCGAGCTGTCACCGCTCTCCGGCCGCAGCACCCGCAGTCCCTGCCGGCCGCCGCCGCCGCTCCTTCCATCCCTCCTTCCCTCCCAGGAAACGCTTGCCCGGAATGCGCGTCCGGGGCCTCGCTGACTAATTTGAAGGGTGGCTGGCCTGGGGAACAGCTGATGAGGGCAAATACAGATTTCTAGACCCAACTGCGGCTTATATACATATATATATATAAAATATGCATGATTACATGTATCCGTAAAAGGATATTTATGCTGACCTCACAATGAGAAATGAGACCATTCCTGCTTGCAAAGGCAAGCGACATTCCTGTGGTAGCTGTGACTTCTCAGTCAGACCTGGGCAGAGTGAGGAGGCTAAGCCTGACCCACCCGAAAGAATAGACTGGCCCAGTGGTCCCTGGGCTCTGCACCAAGCTGCTCACTTGAAAGAAGACACCGTCCCCAGGCCCTGCCGTGGCTCCTGTAGCAGCCCGTTGGATCCCCAGGAGGAATGCTGTACAGGTAGGTTTTGTCAACTAACGTCTTTTGCATGTCTCGTTTTCCTCCAGAGGTTTCTGGGGAATGGGATAAACACAAAGAATGTGCCTGGTTGGTAACAGTGTTGTGAATAACAGAAAACAAGAGCTTGGCTGGCTGTGCTTTCTTTATTGCGAGTTTCTAGTGGTAATCTGTCAGAAATCTCCAATTTGTATTTTAATTGAGGAAAGGACACTACTAGATAGTGTGTGTGGCCTTTCCATGCTTCTGACAGTGTTGACTCCCCTGCCATTTAAGCTTTCTGAAGCTTTCCAAAATACTGGGCCTGGCAATGGGTGAGAACAGCACTTGCATTCCCAGCCATACCTTAGAGCAGTGCTTGTTTTCCTGGCCATTCCTGCCCTGACCTGCCATGCACAGCGAGAGCAAAATTGTCCTGTTCTAGTTCCTCAGACAGATGTCTGACTATAGAGGTAGGCAGCATAATCTTTTGTTATTGAGGTAGTGAAGAAGACCATGAATTGAGAATGATTTACCTGAAATTTTAATAGTATCAGTTTTTAAGAGGATGCATAAAGAAACAGGCACTAATATTAAGGATTTTTTGCAGATGATGCCATCAACCATTTTTTACCACACAGGTTGATGAACGAACCCAAATTAGCAAGAGGAAGTATGAACTTTCAAAGTCTAAACCTGGTGCTACGACTGACATAGTTTAGAGTGCTTGGGCTAATTTATCAGTTGATCAGCCTTTCAGTTTGTGCTTAATGTTGAGCACACAGTCCAATTTACTAACTGGAATTTAAGGATGTGTGAGTGTTGTTCAGTCATGACCTTATTACCTGTATAGATCAATTTCTGCACAAAACCCTTGAGTGTTATTTCTATGCTACTTCGTAGGGATTTACAAAATTTAATGTTGGTACAATGCCCTGAAATTGGTAACACTTTATATGCCTATGAATTTTATTGCCCTTGCATTGAGTATTTTACAGGCTTTTATGATAGATTAAAAATGCTGAGCGCTTGGATGTCAGAAGTTTCAGTGTTTCTAAAACAATTTTTGGTTACATGCTTTGGCACAGCTGGTCTAGTGACACTGTTACTTCTGGCATTGGGTCACTGCTAGAATTTCTCCGTAGTGGTGAGACTCCCAGAAATATTTTCTTCACTCTAATGTTTTGAAATAAAGCCAACTGGATTTCATTTCTCTCAGAAATTACATTAAAGTATTGCTGAAATAGGGTGAATTTTATTGTTTTTTTAATGCCTGTTTATGTTTTGCCCATATAAAGATGAGCACTGTCCTCTACAGAGATGAATGGGTGTGACATATGCTGTATTTATAAACACTTTTGCAAGCTGTCACCTGAGTTTTCGTGGCTGAAGAGAACTATGTTAATTTTAAATCTCATATGGTATGTTATAAACCACAGTGGGAGCTAGGAGTAATAGATGGAATTGTTTGAATAAAAGAACCCTTTCCACCCTGATCCATATTTATGTTTAGAATCTGTAGCATTGAGAAGAGTGACTTAAGAGAGGATGAATATGTCCTAAAAAGTTAAGAATCTGATTATGCACAACTGTGCCTGTATGAAGAATCCTTGCTCTCATAACTGGTGTCACTGATGACAGGGAAATTATTTATGTGGGTTATGAACTATTTCTACAACAAAGAATGTGCAAGATTGGAGTCCTAACAATGCAGTAAAGTTGTCCCAGGAAAAATTCTTTCAGAAATTTTATTTTGCAATCGTCAGTTGGATGAACTTTCCCTTTCTTCTTTCTGAGTGGTGGAAACAGAAACTGACTTCTTTGATGATGTACCCTCTGTTGATCCAAAAAGGGATGTGCAAAGTTATTTATCAGTTCCCCAAACTGTATTTTGAGGATGATGTCTGAACCCAAGATAAGCAATGTGTACTTCATATTTAACACTGAGTGAACAGCACGCAGTGCTGTATTCAGCAGTCCCTTTGTGGGCCACGGCAGTACAGTCACTTCTGTAGCAAGGCCAAATATCTCTGGTATATGTTTAAGTTCTCTAGAAATAAAATTCTCAGCAATGTTCTTTTTAAAATAGTAAAAGACTTTGTCCAAAATTTCATCCCAATATGTTTGAAGTACTTTATTTTAACAGTACTGAGACTACTTTTTCACATAAAACATTTCAACATGGTTTTGGACCAATTAGTTAGAACAATTTCTATTGAATATTTTTGGAAAATCAGGATTCATGAGAAATTGTTCCAAATTTATAACTTCACTGACACTCAGAAGGGTATTATAGAAGAAAAAGTTCCATTAGCATACAAGTCTGGAATTATGAGTAAGATACTGAACCTGTATGTTACTCTGTAGCAACATGTAATCTCTGGTACCTTTGTCTATGGAAAATTCTTCTGATCAGCATTGGAGATTTGACCAGATTAGAATTTCATTTGATTTATGACCCTGTTTTATTTTCCCATTTTGTTTTTAGTGTTTACAGATTAAATAAAGCCCATTATGTACATGGAATGGATAAATATAATAGATAGATGCAAAGGACCTAATCAATCTTATGATGTCTTAGTAAAAAAAAAAAAAGTAAATTTGCTTGGAAAATCCTGCAGTCTTGGCATTAAAACTGATCTTAATTTTCAAGAGAGTTGTCTTAGAAAGTACTGAATATACTCCATAAGCAAAAACTAAAAGCGTGAAGGGTAATAAACGAGAATCTGAAAGAAGCTTTATAGGTCCATATTTAGGGTCTTAAATTAGTGACCTGGTTTTTCAAAGGTACTGAGCAGCCAGCTGCGCATGTGAGTTCCACCAGAGCGCTCAACTGTCCAGTGCTTCCAGAAACACACCTGGCCCTCGGGATCAGCAATGTGAAATTTTATAAACCTTTTTCTGTACTTCTTTAACTTTTATTAAGTTGGATGCATAAAGTACTGTTCTAGGACACCCCAATTTTGCCTCATGTAATCTTCCTTACCTAAGTTTTGGCAAAGGAAAGCCTGGCTTATGTAGTGAGGTCACTGAGGGACCTGAGATGTTGGCTGGCAGCATTGTAGCACTTTTGTTTGGCTGTGAACTGACTCTTACTTTATGTTACCAATTCTAGTGAGTATTTTCAAAAGAGAAACCACGGTTTTATTGCAGGTTTGGGAAATCCTCGGCCAGAAGGTTTTTGCTATTTTTCACCTCTTTCCAAATGAAAATGGTCCATCTCTGGAAATACCGACAGATATCTTTTTGTATGAAAAGCCAGAAACAGTATTTAAACATGAGTCTGAGCTTAGAGGGCAAAGTATTTTGTTAGTTTATCCTATTGCTTATTTTCACTATATGTATTTCTCTCCTCCTTGTCATTGCAGTTTTATTGCCCAAAATATAGGTGTAGTTTTCTATATTTTTGCAGCATATTGAACAAAAATTAGTTGTATAAGTACACAATTTAACTCTGATACTCTTGAGGCCAAGTGTTAATGGACAGATGATTGTCTAGAATAGATAAAGTAATTTCTTTTTTTGAGTGGAACTATATAAATTTCTGGATCCATGTCTCCCCCTTAAATGCTAGTCGATCGTTGCTTTTTCTTCATGTATGTTGCCACAAAATACCACAAATTTTGTCTGAGTGTTTTTTCAAGTAATAGTTTTAAACAACATATATTCATAAGTGACAGAGTCAGAGCTTTCCTTGTGGTTTTTATTTAGTATTTTAGTAATACAAAACTATCTCTGGGGCTGTAGAAACTATAGTCACAGTAAATCTACTTGTCTTCCCAACATCTTCCCAAATTACATGATCCCATTGACCTAATTTATATGTGAAACCAGGAAAGTGGCAATGTTATGTGCAAGAATTTGTTATTATTGATTAACTTTTCTTGGTTTGAGTTCTGTGACTTGGGTACCAGCAGTCTAAGCTATAACATCAAAACACAGTAGTGTTTCTGCTTTTAATTTTGCGAATTATCACAGTAATGTGCAAAACTATTGAAATTCATGCTATAGCATATCAGAGCACAGAAACTTGTTAATACTACGTCAGAGTCATCATTTGATAGGATAAAATTATAATCTGATTATAAATTTTTGTGTCGTAGTTTTTGCTTGTCGTGTAATGCTTACTAGGATGTTGTGAAGGAAAGCTGAATGCAGGTAAAAGTTTTGTAGGTCAGTGCCATTATTTAAAGATTTTACAATTTTCCAGTATCATATTCCATTTGAGAAAAATGATTTTTCATCAAGAGGGGTGGATTTTTTGTTTTGATTTGTTTTGTTATTTACTCTTGTGGTATGTTGATGCTGTCTGGATGCCAGATCCTCGCCAAAGCCACTCTGTCACTCCCCTTCTCAGCTGAACAGGGGGAAGAACATAACAGAAGGTTTGTGGGTCAAGATAGGAGAGATCACTCAGCATTTACTGTCATGGGTGAAACAGACTAGACTTTGGGAAATTAATTTAGTTTATTACCAATCAAATCAGAGTAGGGTAATGAAAAATAAACCCAAATCTTAAAAAACCCCAAACATTCCCACCCACTCTTCCCTTCTGCACAGCACTAACTTCACTCCTGATTTCTCTATCTGCTCTCACTGAGTGGAGCAGGGGGATGGGGAATGGGGGTTTTGGTCAGTTCATCACACGTCGTCTCTACCTCTCCTTCTTCATCATAGGGAGGGCTTCTCACACTCTTCCCCTGTTCCAGCATGGGGCCCTGCCCAAAGGAGACAGTCTTCCATGAACTTCTCCAACAGGAGTCTGTCCAACAGGGTACAGCCCTTAGGAACAGGCTGTTCCAGTGTGTCTCCCCCATGGGCTCCTGGGGGTCCTGTCAGCAAACCTGCTCCAGTAGGCTCCTCTCTCCATGGGACCATGTGTTCTGGCAGGAGACTGCTCAAGCATGGGCTTCCCACGTGGTCACAACCTCCTCTGGGCATCCACCTGCTCCTGTGTGGGGTCCTCCATGGGCTGCAGGTGGATCTCTGCTCCCCCGTGGACCCCCGTGGGCTGCAGGGGCACAGCTGCCTCACCATGATCTGCACCGTGGCCTGCAGGGGAATCTCTGCTCCAGTGCCTGGAGCACCTCCTCACCTTCCTCCTTCGCTGACCTTGTGTCTGCAGAGCTGCTCCTCTCATGCATTCCCACTCCTCTCTCCCAGCTGCATTTGCTCTTGCGTAGTAATTTTCCCCCCTTCTTAAATCCATTATTCCAGAGGCGCTGTCACTGTTGGCTGGTGGGCTTGGCCTTGGCCAGCAGCATGTCCATCTTTAGATATAAAAATGTGAAAGTATGTGGTATGAATATGAATTAAAATATTTTCAGTCTTCTCTCAAGTTTGGTAATGGTGAAGATGCAACTGATTTTTAAAATTTTTTTCATTTAATCTGAAAATGTAAAAACATAAAAATTAATGGTTTCAAAGTCAGAAATTAAAAACCTTTATTGAGATCACAATTGCCATCTTACTTTTTTAAAGATTTGAGGGGTTTTTTGCATTTCTTTGGGAGGAATAGAATTCTCACCACTTTTCACATATGATTTCAGGCATAGGACTGTCTGAAAATTAAACAGATATGGCCTTATATTCTCTCCACTGTGTCCTTAGCCCTCAAAAATTAAGGATCATTTATCTGTGTTTAGGGCAAGATGGAACAATAATAATAACTCTAAAAATTTTAAACCCATCAGTGTCCTACCTATTTTAATGTATATATTTTGTGAAGTCTCAAGAGCTTTAGAAAAAGCAACAGGAGTGGAAGTGAAGAGTGGAATGTCACAGCTAAAACGGAGAGACCCTTACATCTCATGGACAATGCTGGCTTTTGGGATACAAGCAAAGCTGGTAAAAGCAATTTTACATTATTTCTTGTATATCATTCTGGCAGTGCTTCTTAGGCAGCAGCCAACAACTTTTCCCAAAATTACTCTTTCAAATGGAACTTTATAAATGCAGGCTCCATCCTGTGACCTGGGTGACTTCCATGTCACCAGTAGCTCAGGTTGGAGCACACTTGACAGTGCTTCTGTGCAGGACAGTAGGCTTGAGCCAGGAGGCCATAAAGGTGAGATTTTAAGCAGAGGGATTAGACACTTCTAATGCATCTTACAGGCAAGGGCCTATGTTGAACTTTGAATACAGGAAACATTAGGCCAAGACCTTTCTAATTCAATAGCTTCAGGGGACCTGTAGCAACGGAAAGAGAGCCCAGTCTGTGGTGATTATGCATGGGCAGACAGATAGGTTCTGTGTCTGGACTGCTGGCTGAGGCTGGTGGATTATTCCGGTCCTTGCAGCCAGAGGCAGCTCATTTGGCATGTTCTTCTGGTAACTTTTCCATCAGGCTCTTCTATGCACAAGTGCCAAGCTGCTGAGGACCAGAGTGGCCCAGTCCTAACCTGGCACTAGCCAGCCTGTGTCTGTCTGTGTCTTGTTGATGATGATGAGGGGGATGGTTCCAGCCCACCCCATCCCTGTTCCTCTGCATCTGCTTGTACCCAGCCTTGGCTGCTGCTGCCTCTTTCCTGGGGCAGAGTCTGGCACTGTCTGGCTGGGTGCCCCCAGTGCTGCCAAGAGCAGAGGGTGCAGAAGGACTTTTCTTCCTCCCGGCATAGCCATCCACCTTGGCAGCATCAGTCTGAGTGCAGAAAATGAAGGGGAGAAGTGCAGATGTGCTCACCAGTGTTAAAATTATCATGTGGACACAATTCTGGTAACTCCTTGATGCCCTCATGTTATATCCACAAGAAATTCTGCCTCTCTTTTTCTGTGGGGGTCAACTGCAAATATTTCATGCTTGAATATCTAAGAAGTTGAAAATGTAATTGGAAATTTATGCTTCATAGGCATACATGGTTAACACAAATGTACATTTAAAACCCTGTTATGAATAGCCTGATTGAAGAGTGAAGGTCTTACTGATGAGTAAAATCAGTAGAGTACTCTTCTTGTGGAGTACTCTTCAGGAATTATGAAAAGGTTTTCTTGATTTGTGTAGAAGCAATATAGAACTGTAACAACTATAAATAACCGTGGCAACCCCAGCATCCTCTGACTAAATCTACAGGCAACCTTTTGGTTCAAGAGCAGTTGATGGGATATATCCTTTATATTTACTTCAATAGTAAAATACGTCTATTTATCTTATGAGATACCATTATTTGGTAGCTTCACATGATTTTGTTGGTAATCAACCAGTTATAATTTTCTCTTCAGGAACTTCTGGGTTTTCAACTACTATTGGAATTTTATTGTTTAAAACGTAATGAACTTTCCTAATTCCTTCAAACTCCCTATAGCCTTTCAGCTCCATCAAAAGTTCACTCTGTGATAGTAAGTCAATTCCTTTTTCACAGTAATTCACTCTTTGCTAACTCTGTCATTTGGAGTAGAAAATGTACCTTTAAAAATATTGCAAGCTTTTGAGCTTTGAGAACTAAAGTGGAGAATATGAAGGTTTCTATAGTCAAGCTTTAATTTTTGTATTTTTCCTTAATTCAATAAGAATACCAGAGTTACTTGTTTGTTTGCTTGTTTCTTTTTTAAGGGGATAGGAAAAAGCCTATTTTCTTTTTAAAAAATCGTATTTCAGTGAAATACTGTTGTTTATGTATGCCACTCCCCTCTAGTGAATAAAAGTGGAATTGCTCCATCTCATGCCGTGCCGTGGACCCCAGATACAACTGGATTATGGAATTTTTCTTCAACTTTCAGTGACAGAGAGTTTGGTTTGTTTTTTTTTTCAGAGCAATAAAGTGAACTTTCTTCTGCTATTTCTTTAAGGACCAACTAGACCTTCATTCTTTTACACACACATAATGAACTTTAACAACAGCAAAACTGTATTAGTTATTACTCCTGTGCCTGTATATCTTTGGATTAGAGTAATAGTTTCATGCTTCTTGCCCCTGTTTACATAAATGAAGCATTTATTTTAGCAATGTTTACTTTTTTCTTGATTATTGAAAATATTTTTATGTAGTAATATTAACTCCTCCATAATAGGTTGACATTTGCTTTATTAAACTCTTAAGTAATTGATACCCATGCTAGAGTGGTTTCATCACAGATGGGTGTGCAAGCCAAGATAAAAAAAAAATATATTTTCACGTGGACATTTTTGATGAAGAGGTTACAGAGGAAGCCAGTGTTATAAATATGTGGTGCACACGATAAATATTCTGTCGAATGTCACTTAAAAAGGCAAAAAGTGTGGGATTTCTCTGGCCAGAAGCCAGTCAAATAGTTCAGTAGTCACATAAGTCTGTCCTTATCAGCCATGGAGAGAAATGCACACGCTTAGGTTCCAATTAAACATCTGAAGTACACAGCTAAAACATGCTCATACTCAGAAGCTGATTGTTCCTATTGACTGCACATTACAGATACCTCAGGCTAGCACGAGATAAATCCTGAATGTGGTAGTCTAAAAAATCTATTTGTGTCTGCTTCTTTGCTCATTAATTATTCAATTTTTTGAATAATAAATGTGCCACTAATCAGTGGTGCTGGTGAAAACCCCTTCTTCTTTTAAGCTGACAACCAAATTTAGTCCATTAGGGTTGCACAGGCTGTGGAGATCACAAGCTTAGCAAAGTAAGTAGCCTGAAGAAGTTGTATAAGATGTAGAAGTAGTGAACCCTGAATCAACACAAAATCTGATGTGAGGCAAATGTGTGCTGAAAAATGTTTCATAGGAAAAAAGAACATGGGTCCAAAATTTATTTCAATCATGACTAAGAAATGCAGAGGTATGCTGAGAGTAGAATTTGCGTTACAGAACTTCCTATGTTTATATATCATACTCACACATTAAAACTAACACCGAGCATTCACCTCCCTGAAGCCTAAAGAGTGGGATGTGTGAATATAGCTGAGAGGCCAAGTGTAACACATTTCCTTGTTTTCTTTCCTTTAGAGATATTTTACATGTCACGTCTTTGCACTTTTCTGACACCCAAAGATGCAGTTCACTCTTGTTCTTAAAAGATGGCAGATGTTGTTTGTAAAGGCTACAAGCACATTTTTTTTCTTTTTCATTATAAGAATTGTTAAAATATATGAGGTTAAATCCCATGGCATCTGGTTAGGCAAAACCCACACTCAGATTGGAGGACTATAGCTTTTTTAAAAAAATTGATGTACTGTGCTGTACATCACTGCAGCTCTGTATTTTCTTCCTTTGTCTCAAAAGGATAAACTCCTGTTTGTTATGGCACAGCATTTTCAAAACTGTGGTTGAGAAGTACTATTACAGAACTATTATTAAAAATGATCTCTTTTTTCCAGAGAAATCAGTGCTTGCCCAGCCAAAATTTGTTTTTGAAAAGAAGGATCGTCTTTTGAAGGTGAAAAGCTTTTTTTTTACTTTATTGATAAAAATTGCTGAGAAATGGGGTTTCTATAGAAATTATCCTAGTAATAGTAAAAGATTTTAGCCCAGGTTAAGACTTGTAATAAGTGGTCTCAAAATAGAACAGGGAAGAGTAGAAAGTAGAAACAAGGCTGCTTTTAATGCATATATGCTGAATTGCAATACTTTGTGTCTTGGTCTAGAAAATGACTGTTCTTTTTTCCTTGACCTTTCCATGCCTTTTTTTTTTTATCCCAGCGTCCTGCAGAAGACCTAGTTTGCAAAGCTGAAAATGGTAATAACCTCTTCATACACTTTATGTATAATACACAATGGGTTATTCATAGGTCTGACTGTTGCCTGTGAAAACAGTGTTTGGACCCTTACTTTGTAGGAGAAAGGGCAAATCCCTATCAGTAGACTAAGACCTTGTGGGTTGTAAAGCAACTTACTATGTCCTAATATATATGTCCCTGTCTTACCTCAAGAATTCTTCCATCCTAACTCTCATATTTACCAGAAAGACAAACTCCAGAAGCCCTGAAAATTGACCAAACATATTCATGAGCTTCTCATTGCCTTTTCTATTTGTTTAGGCAGCATTATAATATAACTTCTCATTCTTAATGTCTTCTGGGCTATGAACTGATTCTGAGGGCTTGCTTTGAGTTCCCTGAAATTAGTAGAAATAAAGAAGACTCCCTAGGGCTTTGTGGCAGGTGTTGACTGAGATTCCAAAGACCTCTTGCTCTTAGGTATTGCCTTAAAGCTGTTCTGTAAGTCAGTTCTAGAATTTATTGTGTTCAGGTTTTAATTCTGTATCATAAGATTGTGCTGAAATCTCCTACCAACCTGTCTCTGCATAACATTATATTTCCTTTTCTCTAGATTTCATTAGTTGTTCCAGAAAACGTGCAAGATCATCATCTTTTACTTTCCAAAAGTCTGGCGCTCAGCCTAACATTGGTATGACATTTAGCTCCTGTCATGTTCTAATTCCTGTAGTTCTGTATTCTTATCTGGTGAAGAAGAGAATAAATTTTCCTGTCTAAGAAATGTTTTTGCACTATAGGCATGCTGAAAGTCCTGAAAATTAAACACTGATATACTCACTAGTAATTTCCAATAAATACCTTTTTAAGTAAAAATATATTCTTTTTCCATACTTATATAATATTACACAAAGTTGAAAAATCTATATATTTCATATAATTTTCTAGAGTTGCTCACAGTCAAGGGAGGAGGAAAGCCGGAAAGGAGCGATATTTCCTGGCTTCTGGAAGAGATCAGCATTTTTTCCCTGGGCAATCCTTAAAAATGTAAAACAGTTTCCAAAAGGGCTTCTCCTTCTGTCCAGCAAACAGCTGACTGGCAAGGCCCTTTAAGGACTATATGTTGCTTCCATGGGAAATGCAAACAAATCACTGAGTGCAGAAGGACTGATCTGTTTTTTTACAATGTTTATGTAACATATGGATGGGACTAGAAAGGTACTTCTGAATTTAGGCATTAATATGTTCTAATTATTAATATAAATTAATAATTCATTAATACACATAGTGTATACTATGTGTATTAATACATTATAGTGTACACTATTTTCTGTTTTATATAGTTCTGTGACACACCCGAATGTAGCTCAGAGGATTTAAGATAAGATAAGCTTGGTTTACTCTGAAAATCATACCGAGATCATACCAAAAAAACCCCCAAACATACATATGGTAGAAATTGTAGGGTATTCCTACAATAACATGGGGTGCAGAAGGAAACTTGAGTATTTGACCTCTTGACTGCCCACACTGTTAAAGCGACAGCTCACTCCTTGGTTCTGTTTTGGATCTCTCCAGCTGGAGGTCTCCAGGACAGAATTCCAGTTACAGAGGGGATTACCTGTGTGCCTGAGCCAGGCTCTACCCTCAGCCTCAGAGACCTCTCTGAATAAGCAGTATAGACATTACCTAACAGTCTACTTCATAAAGCTTGTAGATAGCAGATAATAATTTACTCTACTGCCACTGAAGGCATGACATCAATCTGGCTAACCCTAAAATTGATCTTTCTGATCTTTCCTGTTCTCCAAACAGATGATAATTTCAGTCTCTTATTCTTTCAGATACAGCTCTCACTCAGAAAAGAGGTAGATCATCTTCCTTTACCATCCCTCCTACCTTCCCTCCTTCCCAGACAGGTAATTAAAAATACACATTTATGTGGAAAAGTAGGTATTAGCTACAATAAAGAGGTATACAGAAATGCTTTTCAGCAGGACAGAGCTGAAGTGCATTGGACTAGTCTGGTATTTAGACAGAAAAAAGGAATGTTTTAGGAGGAGGACTGGCACTTCAATAGAAGACATGTTTTTTGCATCCTGCAGGGTTGGGGTGGAATCTTTGAATAATTTGCAAATAGGCAATTACAGACTGTGGTACAAATTACATTTGAAAAAAACTAGAATGTACTTACAGTAATTACATTAATAGTTTGCTTGCAATTTAATGGTGATGGAATATAGGAATATAATTTTCTATCCAGTCTTCCATCTAACCAGTGACCCAGGGAGTATTCTCCCACCACAGGAACAACGAAGTGGTCTTGAATCCTAGTTTATGTCTCTTACCAGAGTCAGGTCCTTGACAGACAGTGGTATAAAGGATTTCTAAACAATTATAAAAGGACACAGCACTGCAAAAGCAACAAACCACACTGTTTCTGCAATGAAAAAGTAGTGATTGTATGTAGTGTATCGCTTGTGCCATTTGAGGACAAGTGTGATGTTCTTAAGGGGAAGGGAGCACCCAAGATTCAGAGATGCTTGTGGTGGAAAAGAAAGACAGTCCAAAAAAGGTTACAAGTTTTATTAGTAAATAACATACTTGACATGGAAATTGGTACAAGTTAGTCCCTGATCTCCTAGTATGAGCAGTGGATGAGTTTTGGATAAAGGGGTAGGGTGAAAGGAAAGAGAGAGATGAATTAGACAGTGAGAGAGAGAGATAAAGAAAGAGAGAAAAAGAGATCACTAGTCCTAGCTTCAGCTGATGGGGTGTCCAGGGCCCTGGTGTGCACATGCACCTGGGGTTCATGAGGGTACCTTTTTATAGAGAAGTTTTTCCCACCCTCTTAGAAGTTTCTCACTTTCTGTGCAAATCTTTTACCATTAGCAGTCTGTTCTTCAAGTCTTTCTGGAAATGGGTTGGAGGCTTTGGGTGTCTTGGGTGGTCTTGATCCCCCCTACATCCCTACTTCTGTGCCTCATTCCTGTGATTGCACTGTGCTGTGTTGTGCTTATCTCCAGGAGCCAGAACAAGGACTTTCGTCCCCCAAAAATGCTGCCCTACCTCCATATGGCCCCTTCTCCAGCCATATCCTGTACTTTCACACAGCATGTTATTACCAACAATCCTTGGCTGGCTCCACAGCTATCCACATGTCGGTGACAGATACAATAACCTGCTTATCTTCTAGGCTTTGACAACATAGTTGTCATCACTTTTTTACTGGCGTTTGATATCTTTATTAAAACAGTGAAAGCATCAATAGTGCATTGCCATCATTATTATAGTAATTTTGAAGCTCTTTTTAGCAGAATAGATTTGTGCCCATATGCTTGGGCCTCGTTTATTCGTCTTAATAATGCCTAAAACTCAACTAGATGGCATTGCCATTTCAACGACTTATACAAAACAGCAGCACCCAGTCTCCAAAGCTGAAAAAAAATTTTGAGTTTAAAACATTCAATAATATCCAAAACACTTCTGCCTCTGATATAGCCAGGAAAGCTATGGTGCTTTCTGTGCCTAAGTCTACCCACTTGTAAAACTGAGACAGTAAACAGCTATCTCAGTAATCTTCATTAGATGGATAGATTAGAGTATTGTTCAGATACCTCCAAAATAGGGAGGGGTTACAGAAACATGAATTAATGATTAAAATTTGTTATTATTAATTATTGAAGTTTAATTTCCTTTTCTGTAGTAAAGAAGAATAACATATTCATGACTGCAGCTCTTCTTCGAAGAAACCCTGACTTCATAAAAAGTACAAAAGAAGGTAACTGTCATTGTAAGAGTTTCTCATTGTAGTTCCACAAAGACATTCTTAACAGATCCAGAAGACATAAAAATATCAGCTATTTTCCATAATGAGTGATAGGCTAAGTGTCTTTATGCAATTTATAGGTTATTCATTTGACAGTGCAAACGTCCTATGAACTCTGGTCTGAGTATCTGCTCTGACTACTTATTTCCTGAGTGGACTGAATATAACTGAATAGAACTGAATATAACCTTGAATAGTGAAATTCCATGTTTCTGAGTACTTCTGCTCCCAGAGAAGGCAATGAAAAACCCTATTGGCATCTGCAGAGGAGGGATTAAATCTGAAATGCCAGAAGACAGATCTAAAAAAAAGCAGTAAATACAAGTATGAATATAAATATATATTTAAATATATAAATAGAAATATATTTTATAAACACAAATATGTATGTTTATGTATATAACACATTACTTTTTTATCCTGATAGGGTAACAGGGGTTGGTTTCACTGCAGAGTCATGTATTTCAGAAAACATTACAATTTTTCAGAATATGTAGCAGGTAAACAACAATAAATATTATTTTGAAATGTTTTGAAACTTTCAGTTAAAGAGGCAAGACATACAGGTATGGATTAGGTGTGAAGAAAAAGTTTCTGTTTAAATATTTTGTGTTTGTATTTTGCAAGGATCCTTGTCACCAAGTCAATTGCGGAATGTCATTAGACCTGCCATTTTACAACCCCCACAAGCCATGACCTGTCCTGAAAATCCTGTAGTATCTCTAGTGACTAAGAAAGAAGCATGTGTTCAGGTAAAAATAAAAATAATTTTCCTGGCTAATGTATGTTTGGAGCTCAAATTAAAACACACACACACCCCAAACAAACAAAAAAACCCCACCAAACAAAACAGTGCTGTTTTAAAACAATTAGTTATTTCACTTTATGATTTTCAAGAAAGTTCCCATACGAGTCTTAGTGGAATTGCTGGATCACTGACTTGATATGGTGTTAAGCTCATGCTGAATGTCTTTGATCCCCATATCACCATTGGTGAATCAGAGCTCAAATCAGTCCAGCAGTTTGATTACCTAGGTAGCCTCATCTCCTCGGATGGTAAGATTGATGGAAAGATAGACAACAAAGGCACACAGTGCTTTCGGAAAGCTTCATAAAAGAGTTTGGCATAATAAACACTTGAAGAAAAGCACAAAGATCAGTGTTTACAAAACCACTGTGCCGTCTACTCTTTTATATGGATCTGAATCATGGGTCATCTACCGCCACCACCTGCGTCTCCTAGAATGCTTCCATCAACGCTGTCTCCATACAATCCTAAACATCCACTGGTCAGATTATGTGACCAATACATCTGTTCTAGAACAAGCAGCAGTCACAAGCATTGAGGCCATGTTGCTGAGAACACAGCTGCATTGGGCAGGACACGTCTCCAGGATGAAGGACCACCACCTCCCTAAGATTTTGCTTTATGGTGAACTTGCCACTGGCTGCTGCAAGAGAGGAGCCCCGAAGAGAAGATACGAAGACTCCCTGAAACAACATCTCAGCCTTGGCCATCTTGATCTTCATCACTGGTCTACTCTGGCCTCCAATCAGGAGGCCTGGAGACACACCATCTATAACGCTGCTGATGCTTTTGAGAACGCGAGAAAAGACAACGCAGAAAGAATCGTGCCTTGCAGAATATACCACCTAAGGAGTCTTTCTGCTGTGCCTTTTGCAACCGGACGTGAATATCTCGTATTGGCCTTTTTAGTCACCAGTGTGCTTGTAACAAATGTGGGTAGAGCCCTTCCCAAAGACATGATGAATGTCTTTGTAAAAACATGTCTTCTCTGCAGGCTGTCCCACCTTTCTGATGTGAGGGTTCTGTGGGCAAATCAGCTTTGGGTCTTCTGGATTTTGTTTGTTTAGAAAGTGAGATTTTAACATTTTAATTCAGGGCACTGGCTGGAGGAAGCTCTTGCCAACTACCATATATCTACCTGTAACTAACTTTATCTATAGCTGTCTGTCTATCTATATATCAGTGCCTGGATTCTAGAAAATCTGTTTAAGCAGAAAATACACAAGGTCTAATTACTCCATCTGGTTTTATTATTCCTAGCTGTTTGAAGACAGCTCTTATTCCTCAGCTGAGAATTCAGCAAGTTCCAAAAGAGCAGCGAGGTCATTTACTACCAGAAATCTTTCTATCTCTCAAACAGCACAGTAAGTTTTTATTTAATTCTACATAATTTTATCACTTGGTTGATGGCATGCCCTTTCATCCTACATGTCTAACATAGTACTAAACCAATGTTATCCACACCCACGCAGAGTTCAGCGGTGTTTGTATGTGGTGCCAATGTTTGCGTGTGCTAACATGAGCTTCGTATGCCATAAAAATGGACTCCAGACTGGAATTAATCTCTGTGGGACACTTTGCTTCTCACTAGCAACCACCAAGCCAGAGACTGTTCAGTTTGCCATCTCTCTTTTGATTGCATATCTGCTACACCTCACAAAAAAGTGTAAAGAAACTCAGGAAGTTTCAATCTTTAGAGAAACTACTAAAATATGTCAGCATATTGGACCCAAGAGGCACAGAGAAAAACATACAATATTGATTTGGAAGACCAGGTGACTGCTTCAATTGATGCTCTACTTCTGCTCACAGAATATGGTGCTTCTGGTACAAATAGCAAGCTGTGATGACTGTGATGGGCTGGTGTTTCTGTGAAGCACAAACTTTATAACTTCTGTGTGGGGAAGATGACTTCCTTGGACTAGGATGTTACCCCACCCTCTTGACACTGTATGGGAACGAAAAAGCTCATACTATTGCAAAAGTGGGCTATTGCCTCCTTGTGAGAATATTAGGTCTGTGGTTAGCCAGTTTAGTGTTAGCAGGTGATCTTGTGGGTATTAATACTGCTTGCTGATAGTTGATGGGGGTTATTTACATGGAAGCTGTGAGCATCAGGAATCCCTCTGATATCAGTTGTGATGACAGAATGACTTTTTAAAATTCCTAGGGCCACAGATAACAGATTTGTGATGTTGCCTAATTGCCCTTCCCACCTAAAGAAGAGGGAAAATATGTTAATTGCAAAGGAGGCTGTGCCAGTCTTCTACAGGGCTGGATGGGCCACAGATAAAAGCTTGGGATGCACAATGCCAGGGTTCTGAGGAGAAAAGGGATTTTTAGATGCACAAACAATTTACATTCTTAATGCTTATCCACAAAAAGAACATCATTAGAGGGCGGATGCTCACTGTGATTTTGGAAGAGCCAGCCTGTCCCTTTTTATTATAATTAACGCTGTGATGATGCCCTGTGAGGACAACATGGAACCACACAGTACACTGGATTTTTAGCAGATTCAGAACGATGGTAATGCACATATTGGAAAAGCTAAATCAGTTTGATACTTTTGATCTACTTACTTTCTGTCACCTGCACAGTACCTAGGTAAAGATAGGTGAGTAACTTTCTCTTCTGAAGTAGATAGAGAAATGCAATGCAGTGTTTCAGTGTTGACAAGTTAAAGGTGCTTTTCTTTTTTTTAAAAGAGAAATTGCTAATCTCTGGTGTTTGGGCCTCATTAATTCTGTATATTGCCATTGGGGTAAATGTCAGTTTATTTGACAGTTGAAAACTAATTTAATTATAACCAGTGCTTACTGCTCTTCTGAGATTGCAGGAGGGTGTAAGTGCCATTCTTCTGATATGTATTAAGTGACTGATGCTTTAAAATTCTTAAGTAAAATCTTTCTAGCAGAGCTGTTTTCTCATAAATAACAAACAGTTTTATTAAACTCCACATATATGCTAAACAGTAGTGAACACTGCAAGCAGATCATTGCTAAGAAAATATCTTTTTAGGTTTGTTTTTGATTTTCAATCAAGGCATTACTACTGACATTTCTTTATAAAATTAAATGCAGAGACATATAACAGCAGGGATTGCTGCTGCCTGCAGACATCTCTCTCACTTTCTCTCCTCTTCCACTTGTTCTCTATATGATATGGTTCTGTGGAGAGACAGAAATGGCTTGTAAGCCCTCTGCAGTTGCTGCAGTTGTCCATGTCCCAGGAAACCACCATCAGTTTTATTTCCTGGGCTGGCTGTAGTAATGAACTGAAAAAGAGAAATTTGCAGTTGCTTGATTCTGATTAAAAGTTTGGAAATCTTGTGTCACAAGTGACAGAAATACAGTACTGGGAAAACAGCCTTCTGGTCAGGTATTCAGCTTTGCACAAGGATTTGCTTGGAAAATGAGAGGGTTCAAGGCTAGCACTGTACATTGTTCCTTGTTAGTGATCATGCCTTGAATTCAGTGACTTTATTTTGCATCTCCATGGTAATGTCATCCCTGGTACACTTCGTTCTTGCTATGCAGCAACATAAGGGTATTGAGCTTTTAATAATATTTTAAGGCTGGTCCTTCCAGTTAACTGTCTCAAAAAATAAAGATTCTGCACTGATTAATTTTTTCTTACATTTCTGAAAATAATCAAAATCCATTTCCCACATTATTTCTTTGAAACAAGCCTCTAGTTCCTGTTTTTTGGCTCCTTTGGTGTGCTGTCCTAAGGAAGTAGCTACCAGAGCAGCACAGAAGTAGCAGATGAAACTTCAGGATGGAAACTGATCAAAATTCACTGAATTTTAGATAGGGGTGTGTTTAAGGATAAGAAACTCATTAATTTAAGTACACTTCAGATTCCCTCTTCATGGCCCAAAACATGTATAGGACACTTCAAGGACGAAAAGAGATGTATTTTCTGATTTCTCTCTTTAATTTTTGCTCTTAGTCTTAACAACACACCGAGCATGAGAGTGTTAAGGAACATTTTTTTCATTAAGTGTAAAATGGAGATAGGTAATGTTTGGTAAGTCCTTTATACTTGAAGAGATTTCAAGCACATTGCAGTTGTGAACACAGAAATTATGTTTTAGAGGTAATTATCAAAGTTCTGTCAACAAAGCACAGCTTATTAACAGGAATATCCTCTGAATGACATATGTGCTGTTAAACCCTCCCAAGAATGATAAACAATGTTGAAGAGAAGTAAGTGGTGCTGAAGTATGCGGTTTGTGAAGCAATATCAGATTGTCTTCCTGCCAAGTCATCCTTCTGGAACAGAATGTGACCAAAAAAAAAAAAAAGCAAAAGCAAAAGCAAACCAGCATCAGAGACAACTTCTACATAAAGAAGTTTACAAGGACTTTTCTAGTGACTTTTACAAAAAATGGACCATGTTAATGTTACAGTGAGTTTGTAATTAGCAGGTCAAACCACATCTCCATTTATATTAGAATATTCTTGAATTTAATCCCAAAACTACAGTTGTCCAGTACCAAAGGATTGCAAGTATTCCCTTCCCTTCCCTTCCCTGCCCCGCCCTTCCCAAACCTTCCCAAACCTTCCCTTCCCTAACCTTCCCTAACCTTCCCAAACCTTCCCACAAAGGGAAAGCTGGAAACAAAAGTAACTCATTAAAGCTTCTGGGGTAAGACACTTCCCTGAGGAGGAAAAGGCATGTTGTTTTGCTTTTTGTTCTTTGCTTTTAAGGAACATCCTCAATAATCTTCATGAAATGCAGTGTGATACTCTCTGTTCCTTTTGTGAAGTGTTACATAGATAATATTCTCAGATTCTCTTAATGAGAGAATTGCTTACATGGTCATTTTTTGTCTTTAATGTTAGGTGTGGGAAATCTTTAAAAAGCTTTAAATTATCCTGAATAGCATTCTTATGCTATTTTGTTCCCACAGAAGTCAGTTGCTTGAAGAAAGAAGTGTAAAAACCAGCGGCAGTTCTGACTTTGTGTTTGGGGAGAACATGGTTGAAAGAGTTTTGGTAAGATCTGTAAATGCCAGCAGACTTTTTATCAAGGTTAATGTAATTAAGCATATAAATTTTTCAGATATTGATTCTTTTTAGCTGCTTCTGTTCTTTTAAAGATGGACCAATATGCACTTCTATTTTGCCCATTTTTTGACCTGAAAAGGATTTTTATAGATATTTAGGTTTTTAGATATTCCATGCAAACACACACAACATGAAATAAAGGAATGTGGTCCCTACCACTGTATAATTAATTTGCATCATAACTCTGAAGAGACAGGATACCTGAAGGGAACCTGCAAGAGAGATGGAGAGAGACTATTTACAAGGGCTTGTAGTGACAGGACAAGGGGGATTGTTTATATTAGATATTAGGAAAAAATTCTTTACTCTGAGGATGGTCAGGCCTTGGCAGAGGTTGCCCAGAGAAGCTGTGGCTTCCCCATCCCTGAAGTGTTCAAGGCCAGGTTGGATGGGGCTTTGAGCAACCTGTTCTAATAAAAGGTGTCCCTGTCCATGGCAGGGGGTTGGAATGAAAGGATCTTTAAGGTCCCTTCCAACCCAGGCCATTCTATGATCCTGTGATAAATAAGTATGAGCAAAAAATTGGACACCCATCCTAGACAGTGTCATTGCTAAAGCATATTGGGCACGCTTGTGAAACAGCTTAATGGATCAAGTCCTGAAGGGCACTAGGACTAAAAGGTGGTTCCCAAGCTGAAGACTGTGCCATTGAAAATGGAATTGAAATTCAGTTTCCAATAGAACTAGAATGAAAACAATATGCATATCTGCCAGTGCAAAATGTTGGCAACCATAGGTCTGGGTTATGACTTCTGAAAGGATAGGAATAGTAGGAATTGAACCACTGAGCATTGTCAGGAGACAGAAGTATTTATTTAGACATGCCTAAGAACCTTTATCTGCAAAACCCGAAAGTGATGGAAAAGTTAAGTTTGTCTGGGAGTTTTAAACTACTCTTTTGGGACTTAAGTGCTTGAACTGGAAATTAGGTGGTACTTCAACATTCTAGTTCTTCAGTGACTTTAAATCCTAGTCCAGGATCCATAGAGAAAGGCCATTCTTCTTGGTAGAAGAATGAGGTACTGATTTTATGATAATAAAATTACTTCCTCTAGAGACTGAAATTGTATCATCTCCATCAGTTTTTACTCTGATGATATTAAAATTGCAGTTTAGCATGCATTAAATGATTCAGTGTTCTATTTGGTATAAAGTAACTTACCCATTTTATTTAAATAGGAATTCTTATTTCCACCATGTTTTTCCAGAGTCCTGGGAAGCACCCCAAGCTGTGTAATGAAGCTGATTTATACAAAGGAGAAATAACATCCATGTACATAGGATCTTCTTATGTTAGTCCACAAACAAGTAAGCATACTCAGCAAACAAGTACAATTAGTTTTATTCTCATGTTTCACTGTATTTTAGAGGATGTCAAATGAGCAGTGGTCAATAACGTTCATCTATTCTCCAGCTTGCAGTATGTGCCAAAATCTGTGTTCAGAAAGCAGTTATATTTTATGTCATGTGAACTGGCCTAACTTCAGAATGCATGATCTAAGTTACTCAGAAAATTATAGAGTTTTACAGATTATCATTATTTAGCACAGATTATTATTTATTTTTTGAAAAAAAATGCAGTGAACTTTAAGAATACCTTATGGACCACCATTTTGAACTTCAGTTTTAAGATGTCTCCTGCTTGTATTTTGCAACTGCTCACATAAATTACCTCATTATGTTGGATTCTAGTTGTAGGACTGAAAGTCCTGTACAGACAGATTTCAGGGGTTGTTTGTGACTCTGATGTGAGATTTTCTACTAGGGAAGCCATGTAAATCTAGGTTGTGAGGGAATCCCAAGGAGACCCTATCTTGAGCCCTCTTGCAAATTTTTGTACCCCTCTTTACTAATGGTTGCATTGGATCCTCTGGTTTCATGTATTCTTACAAGTTAAAAAAAATCCTATGGAAAATGTGTATAGATTATGCAAACAGACAAAATTTTTCAACAGTGTTGTTCCTGTCAAATCTTGTCCTTCTGTGTTCCTGTCAAATATTTGTTGCATACATATTACTATTCTGAATATTGGGACGTGTCTTTCCTTCTGTAATTATCTGCAAAGCAATATAACAGATACAATATTTTCAATATTTTGGAAAATCATCTTCTCGTTATTTAGGCCTTGTTTCTGCTTGTTTCCCAACGGACAAACTTCTGCAATTGCAGACAGCCCTGTTCAGTTGAGAATGAGCCTGTTTTGTGAGGCATTTTTTATTCCAGCCTTTTTCTTTTTCTCGTCTGTTTATTGCTTTGGGCAAAAACTTATTAGTAACACTAAATAATGTCCGACAACACAGGTATTATGGAGGTCACAGGGCATCCTGTGTGCTAGTTTTGTTATCCTAAAATATTCCCTGTACAGAAAGGATTTCCTTTTTTTTTCCCTACAGAAAGAGCTTTGTTAAGAAATGCAACACTAATTGAATCGGCAGCTGCTTTTATTTCCAAGCCAATGGAGAAAATCCTGTTAGATAAAGTTGAAGTTATAACTGGAGAAGAAGCAGAACACAATGTATTGCAGGTGTGTATTACATAAAGCCTTGATGGTGAGCAGTTTTGTTGTTCAAAAGAACATCTAGATCTATTACAGATTGAAAAAATCTGAAAATAACTTCATCTTATATTTTAATTTTTCACCTTTTTTGAGGTATGCCTTAGGTTATCCATTTTCCTGTAGGCTGATATTTTCATTTTCATATTATATTTCTTAATTTTATAGTCCCTTTCAGTAAGTGACTTCTTCAGAAGTTCATTCTATAGTGGTATTTTACAAGCATCCCCACAGTATACCATCAGTAACTAAAGCTTCAAAATTGGAAGTGATTTGAGTAAAGATGAGTTCTATAACAAAAATTTTTTGGGAAAAAAGCAGTGTGTTTTTAAACTAATTTGTTTTATAGTTCATCTAAAATATCAATTATTTTTCCAACCTGGTAGGACATATCTTCCTATTCTTCAAAATGCTATTTTCTCAGAAAAGAGCAATGGTGCATATGATTTAAAAAATCTTAGCATCATTTTATCTTTGGATAATTCTTCTGTCTTGCCAGAATATGAAAGTTTTACTCTCTTTGGAACAGTACGCTTCTAGTAGTGGTACCAGTATTCCAGGTCACATAATGTTTGTATTGATTGAGGGAATCAGACTGTAGAACACTTGCACCAAATTCAGCTGTGTTGGTGGATATTACAGATGAAAAATTAATGAAGATGAAATAATTGAAAAAGTAAACTGGAATTCATGCTGAATGCTTTCCATGGTGAGCAAAGTATTTAGCACAGATTTAGGAGCCATTTCATTTTAGGTAACAATCGTGATATATCTATTTGTCTATCTTTGTATACATGCATATGGATGTATCAAAAGCCATATCAAAAGTTTAAAACCATAAAGTTTTGGAACCAACAAAACCAGTATTGGCTGGTAATTTTCATCAAGTATTTCTCTTTCAGATCAACTGCAAACTCTTCGTATTTAATAAGCTTTCTTTAACTTGGACTGAAAGAGGCAGGGGATCCCTGAGGCTTAATGACACTTCGAGCAGCAAACATGGAATGTTGCAGTCAAGGCTAAGTAAGAATGAAATAACAAGTACTCCATACACAAAACGCCAAGTAACTTGTACTAGTGTTGGCCAGAATATGCTTATTTCAGATCATTTAAAACTGAGAAGCTAGTTTTATTTAAGTCAAGTTGCTGAGAATCTTTTTACCTGATAATGTTTGCTGTGTTACGGACTGAGGCACTGGGCATTTTTCACTTGGTTACATAACCACATTCACATATGTTGTTAGGTTGTGTGCACTTCTGCTGCAATGTGTCTTCAGCTCAGTCACCAGTCTGACAGTTTGCTCTTTGTTGATTCTGCTTTTCCAGGAACACTTTTCAAGACACTTCTGGAATGTTGTTTTTACCGTGCTGTCATTACACAGTTTCAGCAGATTATTTATTTCCTTTGTGTGGCAGTGTATTGAAAGAAACTGATATATCTGGGTATTTAAAAAAAATAACAAAAAAATAAATCTCACCAGGGTTTTAGACCAAATAAAAAAGAATAATTGATGAAAACATTACTTGTATACAAGTGTTAGAAAAAAGTGCTGCAGTAAAAATTAAGATGGTTCCAATATTTTATCATATAAACCTTCTTATTTCAGTTATGCGAAATCAAGGCAGCTTGAGACTGATTCTCAACACCCGACTCTGGGAACAAATGGTTATAAAAAGAGCAAACAGAAAGAGCCTGTGCTTCACTGCAACAGACCAAAAGGACCACTCTGTTCAAGTGTTTCTAACTCAGGTAAGCAGGACATAAAAAATCCACTCAAATCCACTGTTCATCTAGGATTCTGAAGACTTCCTGAAGGTTGGTTTTAACAAATGGCCTTCATGCTGTGCTTAGGTTAGCTATTACATGGCTTTTATTATGGAATGTTTTAGAAGTGCTCTCCTTTGGTATTTCGAAAAACTAGGTGTGCTGATGGGATATGGCCTTAGGACAGACATGTCGAGGCTCTGGCTCACATAGCAACTGATGCAATGGATATAATTCCAGTAATATGCATCAATTACTCTTTTTTACGAAAGCAATACTGTAAGAATTTCTACACAAGTAGTTACTTGTTTCTAAGTTACTCTGGTAAAAGGCAACAGTTTTCTGCCATGGTTCTCAGCACAATGCTTGCAATAATCCATCCGGTGTAGGACCTCCATTTCTCAACTGAGAAGAACACAGAGTTTGCAAGTCACCTTATGTAAGACAATAGTCTTGCGAACCCTGGTTTTGTCCAGCAAGGGCTAAGCTGGGGATGGAAATGTGGTGGACTTATTTACAAATAAATAGCACATATGTCCTAGATTAGAAAGTGAGAACATCCACATGATTTTCAGGATGTTTACATCCCTAGTAGACCTTTCTAGGAAGGATTCAGCCTCCCAGGCAAGAAAAATAAATCATAATTTCCAGGAAGCATCATGTGTCATACACAAGCAAAGGACCATGCACTGTATATGCAAGCACTGTAAGTCTGTCACTTCCAGACAAGGACTGACTTAAATACAGCTGTGCTGGACTGCTCGTCTGCATGTAAGAATTATAAATGTCCTGATTTCCAGAGGTGCTGCACAGTTTTTCTAGTCTATAGAGATGTTCCACAAATTCTGTCCTGGCACTTCTGGGCAGTAAAAATAGACATGATGAAGATGTATGACAGCTGTATGGGTGTGGCAAGGGTTGCAGTAAGCTGCTTCTCCACTCACTGAAGTGGCTGGTATCCACCCCTGTAGTATCCATCTAGTGACTGCATATATTAACATTTCAGTGCTTTCTTACTTCTAGAATCATACTCAGGAATCATGTGGAATATCAAGTACTCCATGCAAACTGAGCCATTTTTCAGGGAAAATAATTTTTAAACAACTATAGGGAAAATAATCAACAGATACATATTATAAAACTCAGACCACTTACAGAATCTTGACGTTATCTGTATTTAAATTTATATTTGTATATTAATTATTAGTGTGAATATGAAATGGATGGTTTGATTTAAAAGGACAAAATACAACTCTCGCATTATTTTTTTAAACTTCTTAGTCAGATCTTCTGTGAAAAATTGAGATTTTTCTCAGTTAGTTTGGACTGTATGCATTTTATATTCTGCAGGCAGGCTCAAAAGACACTGAAGACCTGTATGCAGCAATACATCATCGCCTTGTGGCATTGAGAAGCTTTGCTGAGCAAGAGCCAGATGCTAATCAAGCAGATGCAGAGTCAGAAATAACTTTTCAGCCATTAAATTGTGATAGTGATGATGAAGATGATGAAAAAATAACTCCAGTGAGCAGCAGTGGATCTGGTAAGCAGAAGTTTTCCTGGAGATGCTGTAATCCTTTCAGGGTATTTCATTACAAGAATGAAAATCAGGCCTTTTGCTTTTCATGCTGACTATAACTTTCATCTGTTACAGATAACCCTTTTTCAGTTAGAATGGGATAATTCCTTTTGGTATTTTGACTTACTGTTATTAAAATGACAGCTCAAGTATCCACAGATTTATAGCAGTGGAATACTCTTTTAACAAAAGGCTGAGGTTTAAGAAATTTAAAATTATCAAATTTTACCTAAATGTTTCTTCAGTATATTTCAGTAGAAATGACTAGAGATATTGAGTATCAGTTTTGCCTTGAGTAAGTGAAAGGTGAGTCCATTCACATCAGTGCTTAGACTGTTACTAATAGCCTGAAGCACAATATGTTTATTAAGGTATTTATTATGTAGTGATTAACTTCATTTAAAACACTGATTCTTGATCAGCTGAAACAACCACCTCACTAAGAAATTTGCAGGATTTACACACTAGTTTTGCTGGCTTTCTTCAACATGACAAAAATGGAGGTTCCTCAAAACGAAAAATGACACTAAAACAAGATATAAAAGATAAGATATTAATGACTTAATCCTTCTGTTAATACAGCTCACAACAGAGCTGGGGTCACATTTGCAGAAAGCAAGGCAGAAACAGCTGTTAGACTTAAAAGCTCTTCTATTTTAGCAAAAGACAAGTCACGTTTCTGGAGCAAATTCACTTGCTTGTGTCAAACTGCTCCAGTGGATACAGGAAGCTGCCAATTATGTTTTATTTTCTAACAGATGGGCTACATCAGGCATGTTTGAGCTGTAGCTCACAGCTTAGTTTCCCTCTGCACCTAGGTAACATATTGTCCTTATATTTAAAACCTTCCTTTCAACACCTATTCAAGTAGTTGTCAATGGACAACTACAATCAAGTCATGGACAGTAATGGCTATAAGTACTGTTTTCCTCAAGGAAATTAATTTTTTTTCCTTTATCACAGAATCATGGAATGTCCTGAGTTGGAAGGGACCCCTAAATATTATTGAGTCCAACTGCTGTCCTTGCATAGAACAACCAAAGAGTCCCACCATGTGCATGCGAGCATTGTCCAAACGCTTCTTGAACTCTGTCAGGCTTGGTGCTGTGACCACTGCCCTGGGGAGCCTGTTCCAGTGCCCAAACACCCTCTGGGGGAAGAATCTTTTCCTGATATCCAACCTAAACCTCCCCTGACACAACTTCACACCATTCCCTCAGATCCTGTCACTGGTCACCAAGGAGAAGAGATCAGTGCCTGCCCCTGCTCTTCCCCTCACAAGGAAGTCATAACTGTAATGAGGTCTCCCCTCAGCATCCTCTTCTCCAGGCTGAACAGACCAAGTGGCCTCAGCTGCTTCTCATAAGGCTTTTCCTCAAGACCTTTCTTCACCTTGGTTGGCCTCCTCCTGATACACTCTTGAATATTTTTATATGTTTTTTATATTGTGGTGCCCCAAACTGCACACAATATTCCAGATGAGGCCTCTCCAGGACAGAGCAGAGCAGGACAATCCCCTCCCTCGCCCAGCTGGTGATGCTTTGCCTGATGCCCCCCAGGACATGGTTGGCCCTCCTGGCTGCCAGGGCACTGCTCACTCATATTCAACTTGCCACTGACCAGGACCCCCGGGTCCCTTTCTGCAATCTATTTAATCAAATAGACTGCAGTTTACAGTGCTTGTTCCCATTATTGATTGTTGTTTAACTACATTTCAGTAGCATTCAGTGCTCTAAACAAAGCATGATGCTCTTACACACACCATTCTCTCAGAAATACCTTTTCTTTGTTTAGGAAATGGGAAAATTGTTGGCTCAGAGAACTCCTTAGATTGCTCCCAGATAATCAAGTATTCCCTCTGTAATTTCTAAATAGCCTATACCACCCTTTTACAAAGAGTTTCTGGTAACTTGGAAACTCTGGAGTGAGCTTGATTCCTTTCCAGGATTATTGATGATAAGAACTCTTTGTTCTTTTAGGGAAAAAAAAAAAAAAAAAGAGGGGAAAGGGAATGTCAAAGCAGTGTAGGAACACAGATTTACAAGTTAAATATTTATTTGGATTTGCAGAGACTTCTGATAGGAATATCCAGATCACAGCCAGCAAACAGGTTCTGAAATGTGTGGGGTACTGTTTATTCTTGACCTTTTAGTTTAAGCATCTGTCTTTCATTTATGTTCTGTTACTGACAGAAGTTCTAACAATCCCTTTCAAGTGCTTTTTTAATGGCTTCTAGCATTTCCTGCTTATCTTAATCTCTTTTATTTTCAGAGCCACAAGGTTTTAATTTTGCATACATTTCAGTTACTAGTACCCAAGACACTTTACCTTCAGACACTCACATCTTACATATGCCTATCCCCGGAACCCTCATTTCCAAAAGAAACATAAGAAGGAAAATAAGCCTCATGGGTTTTGGACAGGATGAGGTCAGTTTTAAATATCAGCATAGAAATGTCCATTTAGATGCAAGAGATCAGATCCTGTTTAAGAGCACTTGTTTAAATCTTTAGTTTTCATGCTTTGATTTTCATTGAAGGGTGTTATGAATAAGTTATTTTTTATTGATATAACTCAGTTTCAGAGATTACTTCTCCTTAACAGTACATAAGTCGTAAGAAGCATAAGTCCTCAGTGACTGTTTCTTTGCATATTTCTTACAAATACAAGAATTTAGAAAGAATGTCTGCATTTTATTTCATTCCATTCTATCTTTGTCTCAAAATCCCGAATGATAGTTTTCTTAATATAGCAATTTCTTTTTTATTAAACTGAACTCATAGAGTACCCTAGATGATGCTATGTATTTCAGGACACTATAAAAGACATGGAAAATTAGATAATTATATTATCTTTATAATAATTAGCGCTTGAGAGTGAAGAAGAAAGCAAATATGATGTACATAATAAATGAAGCACTGTAGACATTGAAATGATTCTGTATGTTTGCAAGACTTAGCTGTAAGAATTTTTTACACAGAATTCTTTAACATCTACAGGATGTTAATGTTAGGGCAATGTGTAAGATAGTAGAGATATTTCTATGATTTAACAAATTCAGTAAAGATATTTATTCCAGTATTTTTTAAATGCTTAGTTGAATTGCTTTACTTTCAAGTAGAGATACTAATTTCATGAAGTCCATAAAGAATAAGTTGCTGTGCCTGATATTTTTATACATTCAGTTGCAGCTTGAATATTTTTGCAAACAAATTGTTCTGTAAAACTAAGTGGAGAGAAACAGAACAATTAATCTTTAAATAGATTTTGAGAGTGGATGGGATCAATAACTCTGGAAAGTATTTGTCTTTTCCCTCTGACTACAAAGTGAGCTGTGGAAATGAATTTAGACTAGACAGTAAACTTCTAGGCTGACCAAAGTCAAGTAAATCTCTTCTTGTTCTATTTCTTTCATTGTTAACTAATTTCTTTGCTAGTTAGTGTAACTATGTTTGCCTCCAGTAGTCTTCATAATATCTAGCTGAGGAGAAATCAGCAGAATTCTTTATTCCACGCTTGATTTTTTTTCCACTATTTAATTTAACAACTAAAACTGTGAAAAATGCTGACATGACAATGTGTGAATGACTGAACCAAGAGTGGTTCCTTCCCTTCTGAGGGAAGTGCCAGAAAGGAAATCTCCCCTTTAGTTTTTTGTGGTTTTGGACACTCTTTGCTGTCTGGAAGATCCACCTCAACAAACAAAATAGAGAAATACCCTTAGCCAGACATATGGAATAACCTAGTAAGGGAGCATGTTCTCCTCGTAGGCAAGCAGTGGTACCTACACCAGTAGATAAAGAGGACCAACCAGCTCTGTGTCCCGGGTGTGTTCTGCAACGAGGAGCAAAATGTCAGACTTGTCACTGCTTCTGCCAGCTTTGTTACTGTATCTGAACCATCAGTTTGGGGCTTCTCTGTACGTTGGCAGACCCCTGTCAGTGAGCTGTACAAAATCTTCTGACTCCTGTTTTCTAAGCACCATGACTTCAGGCAGCTACACATTCAATCTGTAGGACCACTGAGTTGCACTGTTAACATGTGTAAATTCCTTATACAGTTACTGGATAGACAGCTCTGCAATGCAGACACTGCACAACCCTCACGGGTGCTCATCTCTTTCCACTGGTGGCACAAAAAAACAAGGAACCTATGTCAGGCTCCGAAAATCATCCTGTCAGAACACGGATGTGTTAGGACCACAACATCTAAGCTTGCCAGGGATCAGAAGCTACACCTAAGTAGCAGGGATCAGAAATCACTACTTAGATCCATAAGTGACTAAGATGTCTCTGAAACTCTTACTCATTGCATCTGACGCTCTGACACATTTTTTCCATGTTCTCTTTACAAACATGAGGAGATTCTGTCCTTGCTACAAAGGAATGCACTTTGTTTACATTTAGAAACAGGTCCATGGTGTTCATCAAAATTAGCAGAAGGCCCTTAAAGTCTAACTACATTAGTATTTAGAAAGAAAAATTACTCCTTGAGAGACATAAGGCATTTCTTTTGCAGGGGAGTATGAAATGTCACTCACAGCTAGTAGAATAGTATGGGGCTATAGGTAGGAGTGGTTCCTATGTTTTGGTGCAAAATCATAGAGATTAGGCACTACCACTTGGTCATAACCAAGGAGTTATTTTAAGATATATTGTATTTCTCACAGTTTTCTGAGCATCTGTAATGAAGTCTTAAGACAGTGTTCCCTGTACAGAGCGAGATGATTTGCATGCCAGGCACATTGTCCTACCTAGACATCAGATTTCTTAGTCCTTATGTGCTTGTCTTTATTGACGTGGAGGGTCACAGGTTTCATTCACTATTCACATGGTCAAATATTTGTGAATAATCCTGTGTTATCTAGTTAGCTATTTACCTAAACCAGAAACTGATCATATCCAAACTTTAACCTACTGCTTTGGTATTATGAAATGCTGGATTGTTTCAAAACATGAATATCCTCAAATAAGCAAGATTTATTTTTTTTAATTCTTTTTCAGATCATTCCAGATGGAACCGCAGGCAGCCCGTTGTCTGCTCATGACATCTCCCAGAGGTTACAACAGCTCAGCTGGGAACTCATCTTCCCATAATGTCTAAGCTGACTCATCAGCCCCTGGAGGGAGGAAATCAGATGTGTTCTACTTTATGACTTTTAAGTAAGGATTAATTTTAGGCACAGCTTAAGTTAACATACTAAGAAAGAACTTGAGATGCACTATTGGGGATTATAAACAGCCTGCTTTGCACTGGGATGTGAATGACTTCCAGTAGTCAAGAACGGTTATAAATACTTCTGATTTTAGAATTAAATATATTTAGATGCATTATTAGAGTAAGGAATTTTATAGGGAATAAATGTTTATTCATCATATTGATGGATAATATCATATAAGCATGAACTAATAATATATGTGAACTGCTTGTTACTTTTCATCTGCTATTTAAAAGATACATTTGGAAAGCTTTAAATTGGGCTTCACTGAAAACATTTATTTAAAATTGTATGGTAACATTCAGTATCCCATTTGTAAGCACATACAAGCAAAACTGGGAGTGGCAGTTTAGCATGACCAAGGCCAGTCTTCATATAAGAGGTTTTTTTCAATGTGTGTTTTGAAAATATCTGGAATTGTATATTGGCTGTAGAATTTTGTCTAAGGGCAAAAACCACGATCTGCCTTTACAGCCATAAGCACCAGAAGAATTCACCATGAAGAACTGCAAGCCAGTTCTAGGGGGCATGTGAACTTTAAAATGTAACAGTGTATGTGCTTGCACTCATGAACACCTTTCTAGTTGCACAAAACAAGCACTTGCAGTATTAAATGTGAATTTGATATACACAAATAAATTCATGCACAGTACAACTGAGTATCTGCAAAAAAAAATAAATTCCCTTAAACGTATAAGATTATATGAGATTACTTCTGCCTTAGCTGTAGCTATCCCTAAACATCATCATTCATTGATATAGATGAGTATGTTACACATCCTAATGTGTGCAATTATCCCAACAGTGCTCAATATATAGTTGCTCTGTAAAAGTGATTCCACAAATTACTGCCTTCTACCTAACCATTTACATGAGGAATTAGATAAAAACAGTTCCCCCTAATGTCATCTGTGAATTAAGATTTACAGGATCATTCATAAGCCCGTGCACAGTAAGAGACAACACTTATGGACTGTGTTTTCATTCTGTTAAAAGGTAAAGAAAATATGTCTATAATGTCTCTGCTGCAGCTCCCTGATGCCTTTTGTATTGTCATCTTCAGAGCTAAAACAATGTTCTGAAGTATCTCAAGTCCTTTTAATTAAGGTAATTGTAAGGATTTCTACATCTAAAAAGCTTCATCACATTTGAAGAGTTAAATTACAATTTAGTCTTCTCATCTGAACATAATGAATGCATGAAGCTGGAACAATACTAATTTCTTCCTGAATTCTCAGTGCCCTGTTAATATTGGCATCCAGATGAAACCAAACTAGCATCTGGATTACACCGAATCCTAAATGGCCTGCCAAAATTAGCACTTGTTTGACATTGATTTAGCATCTGGATGACAGTAAACTTAAATGGAACTTGATTTTTGCCTTCAGGAACAGGGGAGTGCTTCTCAACAGAGCACCTGTGTCTAATAGTGAAACTCAGTCTGCCAATAACAAAACCAGTTTTTTCCATATCTAGCTGTACATTGTGTCCTGACCACGACAATATTTACATCACTGACCTTCATATTTCATTGCTGCAACTCATCCTCAGGAACAAAGCTCTGTGTTATAAAAACTCATGCAGTTGTAAAACACTGCAGTCCTATGTATTTAGCAACAGGTCACGGTGATAACTTTGCCCTGGAGTTCAGCTGGCTGTGCACAGACAGAATGCAGAGTTTGATTTCAAAGTCTGTCCTGATAATCAAAGCTGCCTGTGAAACAGGATTTAAGCACGTGAATGTCATGATATCCAAGTTCTACTACAGCTGTAAAATCCTTGGCAAATGAAGGAGTGGCCCAAGGCAGGCATAACAGAACTTTTGCAGACACGGGACTTAAACTTTGTAATATGCTCCCACAGGGTAAGGAACAAGACTTATAAATAAACTCTCTTTAGATCTGCCTCTTCCCAAGATCGTTCCATATATACACAAGCATACACACAAACACACACACTCATGTGCACACACACTCAAACACAAAGCTACATCTCCTAAAAGCTGAGAAGGAAGAGATGTTTAACTATTTTTAAAAGATTGGATACTGTGCTAATAGAGAACAAATTTTTGCTCTAGACATCCTAATAATTTATTCTCTTTAGTCTCACTGCACTAAAATTCATTGTTTCTCAAAGCTGAAGGTGTGCTATTATGTAATATATTAACTTGGTTTAAAAAATGTAAATTTGTCACTTTGTGACAGCTGGAGCAATTTCTATGCCTGAAAAATAAACAATTTTCTTACTGCTTTAATTTCCATGTAACTAGTAGTCTTATCTACAGCCCAATTAGAGCTTCCTACAGACAGTTCCTTCCATGCTGCAGAATCTCTAGCCTGCTTTCCTAAGGAAGCAAGATTTAATCATGTGTCAGACCCACATTGAGCACATAGTTCAGTTTCAGAAAAATTGGACAGGAGCTAGAAAGCTCTAAAACAATTTAACTCCTTAATGAAAATTGGGAGTTGCTGAGTGACAGAAATCAGAGAAAGGCATTCTTTGAGGAAAAAGTTTCAGGGTATTTTCTCTGATGCTTGTGGGGCTGAGTGGTGCATTCCTGCTTCTGAACAAGCTGCAGCATATTCTGGGAAGGAGGAGAAATAAACCATGGATGGATGGAACCTGGGACCTGTGGCCTGAAGAGGGGTGTAGGGATTTGACCCAAATCCATATGAAACTAGACATCATTAATTTTTTTTCCTTAGATAAATGTTATTTATTTATTTCTAACAGACCCTAGTGATTAATTTATATACATAAGGGATGCAGAGCTGGAAGATATTATGTATTCATGCAATACTAATTTTCAAAGGAAGGAAAACCTAACAATTCCTAATAATAATGATACATATGCAGATATTTGCTACTAAGATTATGAATTTCTAGCAAAATCTGCCTGGATGGAATAGCCTGAATGTCTTACTTTGTGTTCTGGAGGCATTTGTATCTCTTGATAAATCTTGTCTCTCAAGTATATATGTCATGCTCTCTAGTGACCTCTGAACTAGTTTTGGCAAAGTGTATGAAGTCAAGAGTTTCGCAATGTCTCTACTGAATGAATGAGTACAGGGAAAATCTTTAGCACGTTTGATATCGTTTTCAGTGCTAGTGACAGCTGGTACAACATGGACAGGGAGGGAAAGAGCATCTTTTTCCTAGCTGGGTTTTAGAGCGCTTACCACTGGGGAACACTGGCAGGAAAATCTAGAAAGGCTCGCTCTACATCAGTTGTCTGCCTGAAAAGTGGAGATTCCTGAGCTGTCTTTTACAAACACTGAAGTTATTCTTACAAAACAATGTATTTGCAGCACTTTGAGCATATTCAAATTGCTTTTGAAATGTTGAAGTCAACTGTATTAGTCCAATTCAGCGATGGAGTAGTTTGTTTTGCATAAGCAAAGAGTGGGAAGAAAAGCAGAAAAGTAAATCTATGCTAATTAAAACATCTAATGAAAGTGTGGACAAGAAAACTTGCTCCTCTCATTGGTTTTGTGTAAAAAAAATCTATAATTTGAATTAATAACAATGGCTGCATTTACTTTGGTTTTTTTGGTTTTTCTGAAGCTTCTTTGTTGATTTTGTAATTTCGAATTTATGAACCAAATTACATAACTCAACTATGTAATCACTGATGAGGGTACACATGTTGCAAGCAAAATGCAAGTGCACATAGATAGAATCTGGGATCAGAAATTCAATCAGACTACACCTGCTAATGTGTTCATCTACTTGCCTTGTGAGGTTCTGACGTGTCACGAGTGACATGTTCTCTAAGCATTAGTCTGGACTTTTTCTCTGGATTATCAGAATTAACAGCTGTTGTCAGCTGGGCTCAAAATCCGAGGACTGGTTTTATGAAACATTATGGTGATGCTGCGTTTACCTCCTCCTGTATGAATGCAGCTGACAGCATTGCCATTTTAAACACAAAGGCACCACTATCATTTTCAGGTGCCAGTAGCACTTAGGGTCAGATAAAGAAAGTCTAGAGAATGTAAATAATTGGATCAGTTAATTCTATACTGCTTATTAATTAAACTCTCACAAGAAGGTATTAATCATAGCCTTCAATAAGGAGTGAATATATTCAAAAAAATGAACAGTTGTCCTAGACTGCAAGTGCACTAGAAGCAATATGTACATCCTTTTGGGTAGAAAAAGGCTACTTTATAAAACTGCTAGTACAGTTGTGCATTGCCAGTTTTGCAACTGGTGAAATAACTTAAGGAATCATTTAGTGTTTATGTAGAAATTTTCCCAGGTACTTTGTAACACAGAATATTTTAAGTGTATTACATAGGGGTTTTTTAAAGTCCTCTATATAACTTGAAAAATGTAGAGTTAAGGATGCCTGGTTTTCTACGGATTTGCGTCTTGAAATTTACCTCATGTATTATGTAACTCCTTGCTGTCTAAAATGGGCATTACTCTGCAACACTTTTTTCTAACTGCAGGCATATGTTTCTATGAAGAATTTTTAAGTGCCCTGCGCCCAAACCAAAGTTGGTTGTGGTGGGCCAGGGATTTAAAAAGTTATTACAGCGGGAATTCAATCCTACTGCATACTTGTATCCTATAAGGATACCAGGCCAAAATGTCTGTATTTATTAATTTAATTTTGTATGAATGAATCTGTACCTTAATCCCCTGGATATATCGTTCTGAAGTCACTAAAAATGGGGCTTGAAGACGTATCATATGCCACAACCTGAATATATGTCAAAATAAGCAAAGTGTCATTTGACAGACATTTGTGTCTTCCTGTATATCAGGTAAAAATTCAAATCAAGAATTGTAGTAAGGGTGAGGTTAGTGTCTAATGACTATTTTGTAAGTAGATCCATTTACAAAGTAAGATATAAACTGTAAGTAACGTTCCACAATGTTACTTTATTTTATATGTTACAAAAGTTTAAACCCTTTTCCATGTAGACAATGGGGTATCAGACAATCTGACAGCTAGTCTGTCATACATTTGCTTCTGGGAACTGTGGATGAATCACTTCATGGTCCGTGCCTCAACATTGTTTCCAGAACTTTAGGATATCATCTACTGATTTGAATTCACATTTTAAAATACATATATCATATTTTATGCTTATAAGCTTGCTGTGGGCATTAATTCAAATGACCATAACATGATAACTGCATGATCTCAGCATCGAATACTGTTCCATATTCAAGCTTGCCTTAGTAGTTTATACTGATTTGTTTTTCAAAGATCAAAACAATGAAATAAAGATAGATAATACATGAAGTACAGAATCCTAGAGGAGCAGCTCATTGGTCAAAGAAGTTATAAAATAGATACCATTCAGAACAGAGTAATAAATTTTCAAAACCTCCTATATCCTTTGAGCCTCCAGGATCTTGTATTACTTACGGCTTTGTACAATCCAAAAGTTAATTGTTATACTGAATGAGGCATTTTTTGGTTGGCAAAGGAATTAGTTATGTTTAATTACTCTCCTGGCAATCTGGTTTGTGATAGTTTCCTTCAAGGCTAAGCTAATCAGCAGACAGAAAATCCTCCTACCCATCAGTAAAGACTGAAGAGAGCCTTTGTATTGTTATACAAGAGCAGGGAAAGGCTGACTGGCTCTGGATACTCTAATTTCCTATATCTCTGTATAGATAGTGATAGTGTATAGAGGAGTGCTGCACTGACAGGCAAGAGCTCCTGCTTCAATCTCTACCTGCAGCCAGAGGCTGTGACTTCCCCCGGGGAAGATCACGAACAAGGTGAGTAATGAGAAATACGTGCCTAAGTGAGGCCTCCCTCCGGTGCAGAAGTACTGGCTGCCTGTGGCAGTCGATGCCTGGGCAGGCAGTTATTAATAATGATGCAAACCCCCCACAGCATTTCTGGAGCACCTGCTTACAATATTAAAAAGTAACTCAGGATCAATAATTTTTTTTTTTTTTTCTTTACGTGGCACTCACAGCGAGCGCTGCTCTCAGATCCTTCCCCGTGGGAGCTGTGTCTCACCACGCTGCCTCTTCCTGCCCTTCCTCACACACTGTGATCAAACACCAGAACAGTCACAGATAAAGAGTCAGGGGTTTCAAACTAAGGATCTCGCCAGATCCTCACCAGATGTGCTATTTAGTCCTTTAAAACAAAACGCTTGTTGTGTTTTTCCAACTTTCGGAGACCTTTTCCTCAGGCAAGTTTCACAGGGAAGCAGATCAGCCTCCCAGGCAGGCAATCCCACTTTGGGATTTCTACAGACTGCTTGGCACCGACCTCTGAATCCACCTGCCGAAACAGGGGACACCACAGTCATTGTTTCACAAATAATGGGGCATTGTCGCCGCCCCGCGTGTGGGAAATCGGGCGGGGGAAGGGGGGGAGGTGGGCGCACTGTTTTTTTAATCTCAGAATTCCTGTATATTGCCCCAGCCTATCTTAAGTTTCGCTGATATCTTACTACTGGTTCGTATTCGCCTTTCTGCCGTACTGTAATACCACCATAAAAACAGAGAACCGGACCAGCAACACGAGAACGTGAGGTTTCTGCGCACACGGTCCAAAACCACGTAATTGTTTTCCTCTTTGACGTCTCTTTAACAATGTCACCGGGGGGGCTGTCGCTGTGCCTCGCGGGCACTAGGGGCACTGGAGGCACTGTCGCTATCCTCCGCGGGTACTGAAGGCACTGGGGACACTGGAGGCAATGGAAGCACTGGAAGTCCTCTCGCCGTCCCCTCACGATGCCCCGCGCGCCG